GGAGTTGGTACTGCCCTATAAGGGATCTTAAGCAACGAGGACGACGATGGCAAGGACTTGGAATTGTAAAAAAGCAATATTTTGAGATTACGAACGGACCATTAGAAAAATCATGGAGTGCAGGCGAAGTAAAAAATATATATTAGTGTAAGGGAGAATTAAATGAAAAAAATCATTTATGCCAAGTAACCCTAAAAAAATATTCATGCGCTGGTCTAGAAAAATCACACAAGGGAAGTGTTAAATGAAATGTCACCCTTGCTATTTAAGTTACACATAACACATCTTTACTGTCGAAAGGAAAAAGAAAAATTTGAAAAAATAAATTCCTAGCTGCGCAAAAACCCGGAAAAAAGTTTTGTGACGTCAAAAAATGTCACGTGAACAATTTTTTTGGTTTGCTTATTAGTGTTTTTGAGTCAAAAAAACAAAAATCTAAAATGATACGATTTTGGCCAACTATAAAGGGTTTGTGTCACCGGAAAATCAGCTTATTTGGCAAAAAACTGTGAAAAAAAAAAATATCAGAGGGATCGTTTTTTAAGGAAAAGTATGGTCCCGGGGGTGCAATCAAATTTCTTTGAAGTCCAATAACTCGGGTTTTACGTGTCGTAGCCAGAAAGGGTTTTCGCTGTTTTACTCCTCTTCTAAAGCTCTTTCAAATGATGTAAGTTTTACTTGTGGGATAAAACTCAGGTTGGCAAAGCGAGCCAACCCAGCACTTGTAATCAGCCCCATAGAGTGGTTTAGTTGAAACTAAAGGTTCTTCGCTAGGCTGCAATATCGTTGCTGCGGTTCATTTTCGCGCCTCGTGGTTTCATCGTTCATGTCCAGTTCATCCTTGAGACTGTTTAACTAAACGAGGTTGAGAGATTCATGAGCTATTAATTACTAAGAGATGGGCCGCGAGCCGCTTTTTGTAGAAAAAAAAACCTGAAAGAAATGAAAAAAGACAAACGCAACAAAAAACATTTCTGCCTTCCTCACCACTCTCGCGTGACAATGGATGCTTGTATGTACTCGCGTGCCGCAATCGGCTTGTTAAAAAAAATTATGAATTATCTGCCTCTTAAACAAAGATTACTTTATTACATTGCTTTGATCTGTGGCCAGTAATTAATTATGCAAGTGTCCTCTGGACAAATTGTGATAAGAAAGTCTTGAAAGAGTCCTAAAGCTCCAGAAAAGAGCAGCTAGAGTGTTGATGAATGCCCCCCCTCAAGCACCATCAGTTCCCTTTGTTTAATCGGCTGAATATATGGTTGCATTTTTATGAAGAGGCTTTAATATCTAAATGTCTCATTGCTATAAGTGACGTTCATGTTTATCTAAACAATCTACTTAAATTAAACAGTAACATCCACAGCAGACAAACCAAATACTGTAATTTTAACCTAACGTCTCCGAGGTATAATCGCGAAACAGAAGGAGGAAGAACTTTTACCATCACAACTTGCAAAAAGGCATGGAACAGTTTACCTTTGCCTTTAAGACAAAGAGACTCTGTGGATTCTTTCAAAAAAGCATTGTATAATAAGTTTTTCACACAACAGCAGACTCTTGATTATTTTTCTTTTTAAGTTGCTCGTCAAGTTGTGACTAGATTATAATGCTAAATTTTATATTTTTTAGAGTTTAGTAGAATCTACAGTATCTAGATCATTTAGCTGTTACCTTGTATTTTTATAGCTTAGTATTATGTACTTAGTTGTTTATCTCATTCATTATTTTATTGTGTATTTATTTATTATTTAAGAGGGCCACAAGTTTATTAGTTCCGGCTATCTCTTCATTACAATAGTCAAATTTGATACAATTGGTGCCCCAAGGCCCTTTCCATTTACCGTATACTGTTCTTGAGGTAGATGCACCTCATAAAGTAGTACTGACTGATGGAACCGATGAACAGTTCAATCGGAGCAACTGTTGAACGCGCCATTATTGAGCAGGTGACAAGGCGGTCATAACAGGAAGTACATGTACTTAGTTTTGATTGACGCTCCACACCCTGTCCTGTATAGACCTCTAGCTGAACACCTCTATCATGATCCCATCCCTACCACGTTGTGCTTGAGTTGTGTATGCAGTAGCCTTCAAGCAAGCTCTTCATTCTGAACATTCTGAGGGAACAGCGAAGCATGTCGAGAGAGAATGTGCGAGTGAGAGGGACGGGAGAAAGAGATACTGGCAACTGATCTAACAAGAGTGCAAGCAACGCTCACAGAAGACCGCTTTCTCTGACTGTGAGAGATTAAGCACTGCCTACTCTGTGGGTTTTTTTAAAGGATCAATTTAGAGACCTTAATCCCGCGAGTTGGAACTAAAGACCTATTTAAAGCGTCAAAGCAGAAGATACTCGTGTAGAAGTTATCAGTAAACTATTATGATAATGAACTACCGCGCTTGTATAAGAGAAAGTGAAGAATTTTTATATGTAAGCGGATACGTGGAAGTTCGGCCTCCTTAAGAGGGAGAGAGTTTTTGGGTCTAAAAGTGACACAGCAGTCTTGACTTTTACTTTTCGCTTTCTCTCCTCCCCTTGTTTTTTTTTTTTCTCTCTCTTGCTGGGCATTTAGTAGGCTTCATTTTGGTGAGAAACGTTTTTAGAAAACCTTTTAGGATCTTAGGATCAGGTGAAAGGAAAGGCAGGTGAGTAGTGGAACAAGATTTTCATGGAAATTTTCAGGTCAATGTTACATGGTTTTTTGCCTTTTTCTCCGGTGTCCTTGACTGAATTGTGCTCATTCTGGTATGGCTTAAAAGATCTCTTCACTCTGCACAAGTTAGTGGACAAAGTTGTCCTTGACAGTAAAAACTGATGACGTCATTCAAGCGGTAGGAAAGACGTGGACCCGGACACACAGGGGTTACGGGCGGTTCAGGGGCGAATAGATTAAAGAATGCTGTTTTAGGGTTAGGGTTAGGGTTAGGGTTGACACTAACCTAAAACTGCATGTACAGTTTTTTCTTTCGCTTATAAACAATACTAATGCGTAATTAAAAATAATTACCATAATTAAATATCTTGCTTGGAATTCGTGCTTTAGTCGGGACACCTTCGGGGGTTTCAAAATTTGACTTTTTCGACGATTTTGTGTCCAAGAATTCAGCGCAGATTCAAAACTTCACGAGCTGGCACTGCAGAGTAAACTTGGTAGACTGTAGTGTGTTATGTATTGAGCGGAATTCAAAAAGAGTGCTTTCATATAAAAGATATAAGGCGTTAATTCCAGGGATAACAGATTTTTAAGTGCTGTCTCATCAGTGTCTTATCAGACGAGCATATAACCTAGGTTGTCAGTCGAGCCTCGCGAGCAATCTTCCTTTGATCAAAAATAAAATACAATTAAACAGCGGTGATAAACATTGTGAGCTTTCGCTTCCTTTAGTTCTATATGGGCCCTGTTTTCTTTTCTCGCTCAACAAAATTATTCATAACATCCAAACCATTAAAAACCATAGGTAGGTTTGTTTTATAATTAACATTGAAACAAAGGAGCTCTTTCGTGATGATCTATGAGAACACACTGCCAAAAAATCTGGTAATCCGCTTCGGACGACAAGTCATCCATTCAATGAAAAAAATGAAAAATAAAACCGTTTCAGGGCATGAATGATAATGTTTGAATATTTGCGTCAGTCTCATTATCACTTTACGGATATTTTTAAGAAATAAATAATTATTCTTTTACTGAGGAATTAAAAATTTTCAGACAAATTAGCATTGAAACTAATACATCCTTTTGTTGTCATTCTAAGAGATTATTGGACTAAATTAAGACACCAGATCTTAACCAGATATTTGGCTATGTCTACCAAGAGAGAATGTTCAGTCTTGTGTCTACACTTTACCGAATAGCTTTTCCTGCCGACATGAAAAGCTATCCGTTATGAACTCTTAACACCAACAAGTCACATTTTATGTAAGAAGGCAGCCACGCAAGGCTCAGTACACTTGAGTCCATTACTATTTCTGTTGACAATAAACATCTTGACGAAGTTCAGTCATTTCCATACCTAGGATTAGTTATTGATAAGAACCTTACGTGGGATGGCCACGTTGAATATATGCGTCGTAAAAAAAACAATCAAGAAACCAGGTCTTTTACAGCGTATTTAAATACTGTCTACCACTAAGTGCTAAGATTATGTTCTTCAACTTTTTTATTGTACCCTTTTTCGACTACGGTGATGTAATTTGGGGAGACAGCTAGGCGACTCTTTTTTCTTTCCCGGCTGCCACCCTCGTTTCTCGCGTCTCACGGCTTCGCCGCTCGACGCTCGCGTGCGCGTACACTCCTTTCACTAAATATGAAGAAAACTAGAGAACTGCTCGCAGTCTACTCCCTTACGGCACTCTGAAACATAATTTACCACAGATCTACAAGAGCATAAACCTGTCTCCTAATATACTGTCTCGATTTTCAAAGCGTTTTGTTGTTGTTGTGCTGGTGTTATTTTTTTTAGTGCCTTTTTCGCTCAGCAAAATTATTCATAACATAGAAACCATAAGGCAAATGACTATTTTTCATCACGAAGCTGACTGTAGAACACACGGCCGAAAAACATTTGTTTCGATAGCCAAGTCATCCATTTGATCAAAAAATAAAAACAATCGTTTCAATGCATGAGTGATTTTTAACATATGTTTGAATATCTGTGCCAGCGTTCGTTTTCAGCTGCCTCAAGACTCACTACTGTGTTAACGTCGCCTGTATAGATGTGTGAAAATCGCTACTAAGCCTGGGAGAGCTTGTATTTAGGAAAAACATAACTATATTTTATATTTAAATTAAGACACTGGATATGAAACTTTTCAGACAAATTATCATTGAAATAAAAGCCTTTGTTTTATCTAAGAGACGATTGGTTTAAATTAATGACGCCGTCTTTTGCTAATGACAACGACCTCCGAACCAGCGCCCTGCCAACAAACAGTTCATTTTATCAGCGAATATTTGAGCAAGCCTCCAATTTTTCCAGTTCCAGTACTGAAGATGAACTTCCTTGTGTTTAGCGCAGCTTTTACGATGTTTGTGACAATCCATGGAGGTGAGTTACTAAGTACCGAAGGCTTTTGAAAGCACATACGCAAGTCCAGAAGGTCCAGTAATTACATGTACGAGGCAGTATGCATCTTTGGTGCAGTTTGGAGACGAAGTAACGGCTTTTAGGATACAAATCTTAAATCTCGAAGCCATTAGAATTTTACAAACTCAGAAACTCGCATTTGCAAGAACATTCGCCACTTAAGGTCTCAGTTGCAACGCTTAGTTTTTAATACGCGCCTTGCACCCGTAAGTAAATTGGTTCGGATGTTGCTTTAGGCTCGTTTAGGCGAGTGGTGACATGGAATTTCCAGTTCAATTATTTTGTTATATTATTACATCATACCTAAACGAATCCAATCTAAGTTCCCAATTTAAAGTTCTTTACTCCACTATGACGTCTAGGATTCAAACTCCATGAAGTAGCTGTGTGATTTAAATAAAATAAATTTTAAGAAAAGCGATTTAGCCTGTGCGAAAGCCGGTTGTATGCAGCTGCAAAGGACCAGAGCAAAGAAAACTCACGTATTCAAAGACTGGTTAGCTCGTCTAAATGCGTTTTAAACATTTGGTATTCTGCAGTTAAGCCGTACCTGACCAGCCCTTGTTATCTCATCAGATCAGTCTTATGTTGTACGCGAAACTGTGTTCGGTGAAGAGTGGTTTGGTTTCTTACTTCCTTGCGACTCATTCCGTCTGGTACCGTCTCGTGGTCTAAAATCGTTCCGTGTTCACCACAATCTCGCCTGCGTTGCGGCAGCCGTTGCACTCGAGACCTAGATAGAGATCAATAGAGAACTCCACACAACTACAAAAATCTCAATAAACTTCATTTTTTTCATAACACGAACTGACAACATTGATAAACGAACGGGGCCAAATTTAACCACTGGAGTTATACAATGCATAGTATTCTAAGAGATTTTTTACATAAGTATCTGCAGACGCGTACAAGTGGATTAGTCACTGAAACCGATGTTTTTTTCTGTATTCTCTATATGGGAACCTAGCTAAAGGAACTAAAATTTTGTCGCCGCAATTTGATTTTCCGCTTTCTGATCAGAAAGTGGACGCAGATTTTTCTTAGACTTTTGAAAAGTCCTTTGTCTGATTTTAATTAATATATGGCGCGGACGACCTCTCGCGACTTTGCAGTCTAAAAAAGCTCGCTCCTCTCTCTTAGAAACTGGTGAAAGGTCGAACGGACTGGCTGGCATCCTTTAGACGGTCTCCTTTGCAGTAGCCTGCGAGCAAGCTCTCCTATTTGGGCAAGCGAAGCGAGCCTCGCGAGAACGCGCGAGCGAGGGGCCGAGGAAAGGAGAGCTTGCAACCATCTCTCATAAATTTTCATTTCCACCCCGGAAATCCCGGGACTCCGCAAAGCGTGAAAACCAGGGCGGATAAAGGTTGGGCGGTGAAACGAGCGCGTCCGAGCAAAAAGGTGTGAAACAGTGGACTGGGACTCTGCTTAGAAATGTCGCTTGTTTTCGACTTCGGTCAGGGCTTGCGATGTGGTTTGTACATTAGACACTGCCGCTGTTACTGAATTATGGCGGCTTGATTTGTTTTCTTGCACTTCTTCCTCGTTCGTTTGTGCTGGTACGCTGTCTCCGAGAGGCAACTGTTGCCATTTTTGCGGGAGGTTTTCTTTTATTAGTTTCATGACTTTACCACTGAATTATATTTTCGTTCTGCTACTCGCCAATGTCGATGTTATTCCAAAACAAAAGCAACTAAGTACTGTCTAAAACACGAAGGAAAATCTCATCCATGTCATCCATGGCAAAACTAAAAGACAACAGATCGTGTTTTATAACTAGATGACGTGTATTTTATAAATGCGTGCAGCTCGTGCAAGGTGAAATTATGCTAATTTCTGATCACCATCATCCTTCTTTTTTTTTGAAAAAACATCTCATACGTCTTTCTGTTTCTTCGAAACTTCAAAATTAGTTTCCCCTCAGTTTTTACTGTTTACCTTGTTTTGTTTTAGAGAGAAAAACGGAGAAAAAAACTTACAACTAACCTCAATAAATTTTGTTTACATGCGGTTGCCGGATTTGCAACGCATTGCGCGAATCGCCATGGCGCGTTGCACCCGAGAAGCAAAGTTTGAAGAAGTACAACGCCACTATATCAATATATATCAACCTAATTTTTTGTTATGTTATATAAAATTTATCCCCCTTTAACATATGTAAAAATTGAGGTTAAGAAGTGTTAAGCTTTTGCAAACGAAACGGCAAAAGACGACCAGGTGATATTTAGTGGAAGGAGGAGGTATTCAACACTTTCAAATCAAACACAAATTTTGGCATTATACGACAAACAAGTTTGACTTATAGACGTACAGACAAAAACATATGAAACTGTTTATTGATATTGTTATGAAACAAATTTATCTATTTAACATTGTAGCCTGAAATTACAGAAAGAAAATAGGATTTCCGGTTTGCAAAAAGAAAAAATTTCGCCGGCCTTCAAGCGCACCACACATAATGAGAGCGGAGCGCTCGTTTCACCGCCCAACCTTTATCCGCCCTGGTGAAAACTGTCACCGCAAACGTGCCGCAGATTAGAAAAGTGACAACCGCCTGTCAAGTAAGTTTAGACAGACGAGGGCGCGTAGAATTATTTATTTATAAATCGCTTTCGCAACAGCATCAAAGCAATGTTTTTAATCACATATGTTTTTTTTTTTTCACGGGGACATCGAACTTCAACGTGTCAGCTCGGATAAGAACTCACTACTTTGATTCTCGTTTCGTTTACTTTTGAAAAGTCGTCCATTCCTCAGTGTAGAAGACTACTCCCCATCGCAGTCACCAACAAAAACATCATATATTTGTCCGTCTGGAACTGGAGAATAGCGTTTTCCTGCACTTGGTTCTCTTAAGGTTTACTCCAGTTGCTTTCAACTCTTTCTCTTTTCCTTCTTTACGATCAAGCTACACAGCTACACTGTCAAGTACACGTTTCTGAATTTTTATACCCAGTAGAATTCAATCGGGCGAAGAAACCGATCCTGGAAGACTGCGCTTTAATCACTCTTCACTTCACTCTCCCGGTTTTCAGAACTAAACAAGGCGTTTTAACTCGCCCAAATAGGAGAGCTTGCTCGCAGGCTACGTTTGCAGCCGTTCGGGGATAAGAGTATTGCGTGTCTCTAGCCCGAGAGGTTGCGAAGGAGACCATTAGATAACCGAAACGCGGTTGAATAAATTTCGTGCGTCATTAACTGCCAGCAAGATTTGGAAAATTCAAGATCTTGCCGCAAAATTTGAAATATTCATAGACCTTGCAGGCAAGATGAAGAAAATTCCAAATCTTGCCGACAAGATTTGGAAAATTCAATATCTTAATGCCGGCAACATTTGGAAAATTCAAGACCTTGCGGCTGCAACTCACCACTCGCTAACTCGCTGCAGTAACTCACGACGGATAACTCACCCGCAACTTGCCGGTCCCGTGGGTACCACCAACAAACTGAGTAAAATTTAAAAATAGCTGCTCAAAGCATGAAAAGAAGGAATAAATAAGGCAGCAAATAGAAAAAAAGGCGCGCATCGGATGGACCAACTTGAAGAAGATTAAAACGAATTGCAATTGCGCTTTTGCAAACTTGTTCGCCTGACAGTTTTTCAAAGTTAATTTTTTGTTTCCGGTGCTTTGGGAAAGATATTTGTTCCATACAAAGCTGTGATTTTGTTATTCACTTACGGGTAAATTCCTCGCTTACATTGTTGAGTTCCTTGGCGAATAAAGTTCCGCGGTTATTGGCATTCTAATATTNAAAATTCCAAATCTTACCGACAAGATTTGGAAAATTCAATATCTTAATGCCGGCAACATTTGGAAAATTCAAGACCTTGCGGCTGCAACTCACCACTCGCTAACTCGCTGCAGTAACTCACGACGGATAACTCACCCGCAACTTGCCGGTCCCGTGGGTACCACCAACAAACTGAGTAAAATTTAAAAATAGCTGCTCAAAGCATGAAAAGAAGGAATAAATAAGGCAGCAAATAGAAAAAAAGGCTCGCATCGGATGGACCAACTTGAAGAAGATTAAAACGAATTGCAATTGCGCTTTTGCAAACTTGTTCGCCTGACAGTTTTTCAAAGTTAATTTTTTGTTCCCGGTGCTTTGGGAAAGATATTTGTTCCATACAAAGCTGTGATTTTGTTATTCACTTACGGGTAAATTCCTCGCTTACATTGTTGAGTTCCTTGGCGAATAAAGTTCCGCGGTTATTGGCATTCTAATATTGAACCAGTTTAATTCTAGACAGGCGTGGCATAGCCGCATTTACGCAGTGAGCCTTTAGTACTCGGCTGTCGCCCACTTCGCTCGCCTTCTTCTTCTGCTTCACATTTCACAGAATTCTCACTGGTCGAGTGAGAACAACTGTTTTAAAAGCTGTAATTTTATATTTTGATTGCTTTTTGTTTTCATTCCAGCTTTGGCCTTAAGATGCCACCAGTGTATGCCAGACCAGAACACGGTTGTTAGTTCCCTGCAACAACAAGGAAACAACTCGAAAAGCTTGAGCTTTTGTGCCGAGCCCAGTGCCACTTTTGATTGCAGTCAAGATCCATTGATAGGAAACATGGCCGATTCCTGTTATACAGCCCGTGTCACCTTAAACACATCTCTTCTAATTGGTGACATCGAAATGTATGTCCTCAATTGTTCCGTAATGTCATTTTGTAACTCAATGAAGGCTGATCTGTGCGGCATGCTGGAAAATATGTTTGGAGAGATACCAATGATGGACATTAAAAATTGTGACGTCACATGCTGCCAGGGGGACCTCTGTAATAATCCATCCTCACCGTCATCCGCTAATACAACTCAGGCTCCTGCCGGCGGTGGCCCAACGGTAAAGTCGTCGGTGAAGAGCAGTGTTCCACCAGCAACTACTCTGTTTGGAGTTCTGGTTTTGATGGCTGTAACTTTTGTGAGGTTTTAGAGAAGTGGACAATCTGTCGAGTGACAGAGTGAGGGACGATATTTTCTGTCATCACCATTTTATCTTTTTGTTTCTAACTCGGCACAAGTGGAAGATGCTAAGAAATCTAGTGAGAAACATGCATGACCGTTTTTATTATAATTTCTTGAGTTTGTGTCATTATGTTTTTATCTTTTTTACTAACTCAGCACAAGTGGAGGATGTTTAAGAAATCAAAAGGGAAACATGACACTTTTAATACTTTTTTTTGATGAATACTTTCTGTTATTTCATGTTTATCTTATTTACCAACTCTAAACAAGTGGAAGATGTTTAAGTTTTCGTTGAGACTTTCTGTTTTTACATTTTTATCATTCTTTTTTTAACTATATTAGCACAACTGGTAAATGTTTAGAAGAAATCGAATTTTAAACGTGACACTAACTTTGCAAAAACTGGTCAGTCCAGATTCAGATTGACAGTTCAGTGGAGATCGAAACCTTCGCGCGGGGACGATTCAAAAAATTGCCATGGACTAGTTTCTTTCTCTACCCTCGTACCGTAACATACAAACTGAAACGCTGAAGTCATTGAAAACTCTTCACTTTTAAATCGACAGTTATTAAAAACGTACAAAAAAAAGTTAGTAACCTATGTGGCCGTAAAAAAATACTAATTGGTAGAATTTCAAAGTTCACGCCAGTTTTGTCTATTAATTAGTCTCAATATCAGATAGGTGGCTACTTTCTACCTCCTAATTAAAGCCGCATTTTACCTTTTAGTTTTTACTTCAATGTCACGGTTCGCTTCTCTAAACAAGTAAAAATA